TTTCTGGCGAAGGGGAGCAGGGGGGCCTCGGGAGCGTGATTATTTTGGTAAAAAACCTGCAATTGGGGTTTTCTCCCTCCGCCGTGGGCCAAGCTCAAGCAGGGAAAAAGGCCAACAGGCCTTGTCCTTCCCACCCGCTGCAATTACACTCCACGTCTAGGTCATAGTTAGCATTATTTCTTTTTTTAAAATGTAAAGAAAGTAACAGCCTGGAGGGTTTTCTTCGGTTTAACCCCATGTTTTTTCCCCATCAGCCTTCGCATCTGGCTGACCATATCGCCCATAGCGGCTTTAGGGCTGTAGCACCAAGCGTTCCAGCTGGAGTTAAAGGTGACTAAACTGCTGGGTGTGTGTGTGTCCCCCCACCCCCCTTCATGTAACGCTTTTATTTTCACTGAATAAAGCGTAGGGCAATTTAGCACTCTTTGGGCAATGACCATGAAGTCTTGATGCCGAGCTGTGGATGAAAAGAGAGGTTGCGCTGGAGCCCTGCCCAGAAACAAGCGCTGGGCCTAGGGAGCCCGTTGTCCTGTAAAGGCTCTGTGCCTTGGCTCCTTGCCAAGCCAAACCCAAACTTTATGGCAACCCAAGTAAGCACCACCTCAGGGGTGCAGTATTCCAAAAAGCCCATGCTTAACAGTCAATTCCAAACAAGCTACATAGAAGCTGGCTGTACTGTATCAAGAAATAATTGTTTTCTTCATAGTGCAGATTAAAAAAAAAGGTGTAATTTATGGTTGGGGGGGGAAAAAAAAAGTCCTACAGCACTTACAGTTCTTTTATTATTTCAGGAACAGAAACAGCAAAACAAATCACTGTATTAGGAAAGCTATTTCAGATATGTCTTTGGTATTATGTAGTTAAACTAATGTATGTTTCAGAAACTATGAATAGGAAAAAAATATAGCTGCAGCAAAAAATTAAAGCTCTGTCACTTAAACATTGCATAGGCACCATACACTTTTTCATTACATTCTTTGTTAAAGGACTAATAAAATAGGTGATAGGTAATAAGCCCAGGTGTCCTGTGGTGATACAACAATGATCGTCATCCCCCTAAATACCCTATGAGGACACTTGGTGCAAAGACATACTCTTATCCCCATTCTTGCCTAAGTGCTTGCCCAGTTATTACCCAAAAACCCCTGTCTAGTCAGGATGCTTAGCAACACTTGGAACAGGCTGCCAATGACTCCATCCATCCATTCCTAGGGAATGCATCAAGACATTAAATGGAGGAGTCTGGAGGAAAAGAGGTAGGGCAGGAATATGAGGAAAAAGGGGGAAAGGAGCTAAAGATATGCTCCAGCCTCGTCAGAAACAAAAATCAACTTCTTCCTTCCTGCCCAACTTGCTGCCTGGTGGCCATAGGAAGTGAAGTGCATCAGGAACTACAGGCCAGACGTTCGCTGAGCAAATGGGATGTTTCTTGTGTCAGCAAGAAGAGGCCTCTGCACTCAGGTGCACAGGGCAAGAGAGTTGTTGTAAATAGCAGTTGCTGTGTATGTCTAAGTGGCTCTGTGATTCTATTCAAGCCCGAGATGAAGACCACAGAAGTGGATTTCAGGCACAGTTGAAAGAGATCATTAGAGCAAACAGAGTAGCCCTATTCTAAAGAAACAGAATGTTATTGTATAACCGCAGCTCTTCTACCAAGACATCTCCTTTTTAGGGAGAGCAAAATCTGCCACAGAACAAAATGGTGGAAGTTTTGTTGTGCCGGATGAAGAAGAGGAAGGGATGATCAGCAGTGAACTCCGGAACAATCATTGCACAGCGCAGCATCATCACCCCTGCCGTGGCAGCTGCTGCTTCAGTGCCTTCTTCATTGACTTCCACAAAAGACTTGTGAACTACTTCAGAGAGCACGAGCTCCTTGCCAGCTGAGATTCCTGAGAAGTCTGCCTTCCCCAAGTCAAATGCATCAGGCATTCCCATGCTACTCAGAAGAGGTTTCAGAGCATAATCTTCTTCCAGTTTAAATCTGGGTAAAGACACCACCACCTCTGTGCAGTCCATCATTTCAGGATTGATCCAATCTATCAGCTTCTCATATGTAAGTTCTCTTTCCAGCTAAAGAAAAGAGAAAAATTACATAATTAAAATAGAGAGTCAGTTCTACACAGCCAAAAGTGGCGATTACTGTGTTTACATAGTGCATAATAGGCATCTTTTTTCCAGGGTTTAGAGGGTCTGAAGCCACAAGTGCAAGTTATACTTCTCACTAGAGACTACGGCCCCTGCTGAGATCAATCCTGTGTGCTTTTTGGTAGACAGAGTAAGGATCAGTCCCTTCCACATAAAGTTTACTTTTATAAAAAGATGTTAGATTGGGGGGGGGGGGTTTCGTGGGTTTGGTTTTTTTTTTGTTTGGGTGTGGGGTTTTTTTGTTTTGTTTTTACATTTTTACACATGGTAAGCAAAGGCACAGAAGAACTGATGACAAGGTCCCAAAGAAACTGGACATAGTTCTTATGTCTCTTAACCACAGGATCCTCCTTCAGGCTGACAAAAAAGTCTGCTCACAATGCCCTTTGCAGTCAGTGTTACAAAGCCATATTAAATTCCTTCTCCAGAGTATGAAATAGCCAAAACTTGTATCATACCTCCACAACAGAGGAGGTTCTACACTTTCCTGTGAGCCTGTTTCCAGGTGATGGGCCAGAGACAACCTGCCAGCTGTTCAGAACAGAAGATCTATGGGACAAGCTATAGGACTAGCTCACCCAGATCCCCTCTCACCATATAAGATGCTCACCAGACTATGCCTTCACCATAACCTCTGCTCCTGAGGAGGGTCAGGTCTTCTTCCAGAGCCTCTGGCTAAGGGGGCATCACACAGCTTGACCGGCAGTGATACAAGGCACATGAATCACTTTGGGGGCAGGGAGGTATGGGACATTTCAGCTGCTGTTGAGCACCAATGACATAATCGTTTTTGAATTGAACTGCAGGTCTGTATGCAATATCAAACTCTTCCCTGGAAATATACAGACGGTCTTTGCATTTAGCTCAACAACTTACACTTTCCAAGCCAGTGGATTCATCCTGGATTGCATCAGGGAGCAGGATGATCATGCTGAGTTCATTACCCACATAAGGGAGCTCAAGGATTTTGGTCTGGAAGTCCCCAATATAGGTCATGTTAAATGTATCCTTCTTGAACATCATCTGTACAGGTTTGGTCTCTTTCTAAAAATAAAGAGATGTCAACAGTTAGTAATGAGCTAGTATGCTGGTCTCAAATACAAAGCAGGCAGGGGCTTTTAGAATTTGACTTAAAGAGAACTAAGCACAACACAGAGTACAGCCCCACTACTGTCTTTTGTAAAGCAAGAGGTAAGAAGTAAGGATCCCCGTGATTCCATTTTTAATTGCTTATGTGGAAATGTCTGTAAGTTTCCTTTAAGGTAAAGAGGCAAGGACACAAATTTGCTCACTTAAGAACTAGTGACAAGCATTAAACAGAGCTGGTAAGAAGCAGGACCAGTGTTCCTTGCTTTAAATGAATACAAAATAATTTTAATGTAGGTACTTTCAGTTTTAGTCCATGTGGCTCCAAGTGCTATAGTAAAGAGGAATTAAAATATTTTAAAATGCCAAGAAAGTGAGCACATTATTTTGAATTCTTAGAAGTCACATGGGTAGGAAGGAAAGATTTTTCTTCTCGGTTTCATTCTCTGCTATCTCCTTCTATTTTCACATGGGGCATCAGCTACTATTGTTTACATCATTATTTCCTCCTTTTCAGTTAAGAGTTTCACTGCTTTTTCCCTTACTTCATGAGATAACCATACAAAGTACATAGTTTTTGGGGTTTAAAATGAAGCCCATTGAAACAATGCCCACAGAGAATAAGGCAAAAATTATTTTGCACCAGCAATGACACATGAAAAGGAAGGACAAGCAAAGAAAAGGCCACACAGCATGTGAAAATCATCCAGTAATTCATAAGTAGTGCAAGAGTCACAGAAAGAACATCACAGGATCCTGGAAAGGCTCCTCAGATGTTAAAGTAAATCTTTGCTACTGGACAGATTGTAAAATAACTAGCTTAAAAACTTCAGGTTACACCTGGGATTTTCAATTGTTCATTTGAGCCTACTCACAGACTTCTGCAGCTTATTGGTACCTAGTCATTAGTAGAATGAAAATGCGAACTTAAGCCATTTAGTTTTACAAGAGTCACGCAGTTGTTTGCTTATCTAAAAGTGATCTCCTTGGGTAAGCCATGGCAGCATTCCTCAACCTTACACCTTAGAACTTTCTTCAATAGTTACCTGTATCCCAAAGACTCTGATCTTAAAATAATAATTGACTGAAGAATACTTAAATTCAGAAGTTTCTCCAAATGTAGAAATGCTCTTTTCTGCCTAGAACCTATAGGAACATTCCTTTTCTTATCCACACCAGTTTTATCCTAAAATAATCAAGTTCACTGACTTCTGTGAAATTGTTCACAATTCTCAAAATAGACTGACAGCTTCACTCAACTGTTTTCTTCTCCTCAGTTCTCTATGTAGAGGGCTAACTCTCTCAAACAAACAAGGTTAAAGGAAAAGAGAAGAGACAGAATGAAAGAAATACTTAATTGTTATATTAAAGTTTCTAGTAATTATGTGAAACTTAACAGAAACTAAACAAAAAGTGTTTGTATTAAAAGGGGGGGTATAAAGAATTTCATACGCCTACCCTAGGTAACCCTGATTGAATGATTTTTTTTTTTCTTCCTTCAGAGTTAAATGTATTCATTTAGGATACTTCAAAGTAACAATGTATTATCAGCATTTTAGCACATCATACCTTGTTGATTTGAAATGGCCTTTCTTCAGTTCTCTCTTTGTTAAACTGCTTTTCCCAGTTGCCTTTGAAATAGATGGCATTCACCAAGACAAGTCTGGTCAGTGAATCAAGAATCCCCTCTGACAACAGGTTCTGAATTTTACCTTTATGATACACAGGAAAACAAACACAATTTTTAAACAGTTTGGCATGTATCTAGTTATTATCTAATATAGTATCCACTCTGTAATTAATACACAATAGATCAGAGAATTATGTACCAAACAGAGCTTGAGCTCAGTGTTGGGTTTTTTTAATTAACAATATTGTGTCTTGAAATAGCTGTTTACCCAAGCCCTGGCTGCCATTAAATACAGCAGCACATTCTGCAAAACACTCACCTTCAGTCCTTTCCTCTACCCAGCCATTTATTTGTTTTCTGGAATCCTCCCAAGCATGCACGAAGTCAGTCTGTTCTAGTCCAGCATGGTACAACTTCTGACTCGACTCTATAAATGACTACATGGACATTCAGAACAGCTTTTCAGCAATATATTTTACTCTCATTCAGCCAGAGATGATTCTTAAATACACCAAGAAAATCTGCCCGCTTTCGTCCCCCAGCTTCATACAGAGCCGCTGAAGTTTTGTCTTACAGTATTAAGTGTTAGACACCTATTTCAACTAGGACTTGTCCACTCTATGTTACTAAGTCAAATGGCTTGTTTACTATGCTAGAAAGTTCTACATAATTGAGAAATTACGTGGCTAGTTTGGGGTGGTGTTTTTTTTTCTTCAGTGAGAGAACTTACAATTTTTGTAAGCTTCTCTATACATAAATTCTCCTGTTAAACCTCTCAGACTAATAGAAAATTTTTACTTCAAAGGGGAAACATTCTTCTTAGAGATTAAAAACATACCTCTCTGCTTTAATATAAGTATTACACAGATGCAAAGTTTTACAGTACAATCCATGTAATTTTTATCTACTGGACAAACGAAACACTAGCATTCTTCATAAAAAGAGTCACTGTAAATCACTCCCAGGGAAAAAAATAAAAGCCTTACATCTTCTTGCTTATAGGGAAGCATCTAAAGGAACATGTATAACACAATACTATTATTCTTATTAAGATTTTCCTTATCAGAAGATCTAAAGGAGTCAAACGTAATCCTCTCAGTATGTTCTCTCAATGACTTGCATAACAGAAACACTACAAAATACTGCCCATGCTGAAGAGCAGTAACAATTAGTATCATATTTACACACAATCAAGGGAAAAGAGATACACCAACCATTTGTGCTACAGCCCAAAATACGAATGGATCATGGAATCCTGAAAATTTAGTCTCTGATGAATTTTATAGTGCTTTGCACCAGTTGTGCATTCAGATCACAGGCTATCTAAAAGGAGCTTCTCCACCAAGTTCAGATACCAGGCTTTGGCACAATCTATCACATGGTATCACAGCCTAGAAAATCTGGGAAGTAAAACCCAAAGCCTGCCTTTGGCCTCCAAAAGAAATAGGTAGCAAGTACATTATACTAAAAAATGCCACAAATTTAATGGTTACTTACCGACAGAAACTCAAATGTCTTTTCTCCATAAAGTCGGTTAGCAGTTCTCAGTATGTATTTGGTATTTGGATCGTTAATTTCAGACAGAAGTGATTGATACCCATTATGAGCATCCTTGGCTTTGTTCAGAGAAAGCACCTGTACAGACAGACATCCTCAGCAGAGTCCATGCCTTCTCTGAACACACTGCTTCACTGCAATTTTTTTTTTAAAATGACTTTTGGTTTCAAGTCACAGTTCTTAAACCCAAAACATTTTTCATCACACTTCCCATCTGGAGCTTATCATGCATGTCACATATGATGCACCCAGCCAGATGTTGTACAAGTAATAAATTGGGGTGCAGAAGTTTAGTTTCCTTCACTCAAGCTGAGCATTAGAGAATAACAGAATGGTTGACATTGAAAGGACCTCTGGATGTCATCTGGTACAATCCCCCTGCTCAAGCAGGGCTACCTACAGCTGGTAGCACGGGACTATGTCAATATGGATTTTGAATATCTCAAAGTATGGCGATAATATAATTTGGGAGAAACTTGTATAGATTTAAACGAAAACAAAATATGTGTTTATACTCTTCAACTTTATGAGAGGCAAGCATAGTAACAAAGATTATGAATTTAATACTGTCAATTGCATATGTAAAAAATATACCAAGTGGTATTTGCCACCTGACCAAGTTTAAAAAAAAATTTTTTTTTTTTTTTTAAATGGGTCTGGCTACATTTTCAAAACATGTATAGTCTGATATTAAGCCTCGAGAAGATAGAAGAAAATATTTTATGTAGCGAGATGGTCAAACCTACAAAAAAAATCCTAGGTACCTTTTAATGACATATTGAAGGAAGATCTCACCGTCTCAAAAAAACAAAAACACAAAACCCACACGCAAGAAAAACCAGGAGTCTCAATTTCATACTGAAGGAAGCTCCCCTATAAAAACAGCTATTGTTTACATACATACCAAAGGAAGACCTCTGCTCTCTGAGACCAGAATGACAATAATAGTTTAGCATAAGTGCAGGTCACAGACCTAACACAGATTTGTTGTTCATATGGTCCCAAATTCAATACACTAAGTTTACTTAGACTTACCTTTGCTATTTGGGCTTCGGTGTTACCTTTTGAACCCAGCAAAATCATAGACAAAGCAGAAGAAATACTAAAAGGAGAAAAGAATAGATTCTGCCTGCTTTTGTCCTCACACAGCTTTCTTAGGAGTTCGAGTGCAAAAGTGGTATTTGCTGCACAGAGGCTATCCATGGTTCAGAGGCTGGGAGATAAAACACAAAACAAGAACGGCTCACATTTATTTGAATACAAAGTTATTTCTTTTACATTTCCCAGTATGAACTATTCAGCAATAAGGCTGAAAAATTATCAACTCTCTGAAAAACTGAATTGGTGGGACAAGCACCTTACATCCCACACTAGGCACTTGAGTTATTTTACGTATTTATTGTTTGCTTTTCTATTTCAATCCCATACCTGTAACAGAGACAGCAATTCCCACTGGTGTCATTAGACTCTTCACTGGATAATATTACACCTTTTGAGATTATACAATAGTATTTTGTTTAGGATTTATTAAAAGAAATCTCTTTTGACTTCAAAGACAATTATTTGCCCTTATAGCAAAACCAGAACAAAAAGTTAGGCATCAGCATGGCAGAATTATAAACTCTTACCTTCTCTAAGTCTAGATATCTTCAGTATTACCTTCAGCTTACTTGTACATGTACACGCTGTGTTTTAAGCCTAACAGCCAGTCTGGTAGAAGTCAGCAGAATGACTTGTCCTACGAGATTAAAAAAGAAAAAAGTTATTTGGTCAGCATGACAGCTGACTAATTTCCTGGTGTAGTACAAAGAAAAACCAAAGTCCATTTTAGTTCCATTTTATTGCCTACAACACAGAAACACACACAATAAAAAAACCTACTTAAACATAACTTTATGGTGCATGCATCTTTCAACATGTGAAGCTTGATGCCTTGTCATACTGTACATACACCAGCTGTGTGGCTAGTTAGAATCATAAAATAGTTTGGGTTGAAATGGACCTTTAAAGGTCATCTAGTCCAATCCCCCTGCACTGAGCAGGGACATCTTCAACTAGATCAGGTTGCTCAGAGCCCTGTCCAACCTGGCCTTCAATGTTTCCAGGGATTAAGCATCTACCACCTCTCCTGGCAACCTATTGCAGTGTTTGATGTTCTCCAATTCTGTCTGAAACAAGTAACTTAATTTCCTGTACTTCACAGTGTTAAGTATGAGGCACTTAGTATTTTCAGGTCATGTTGGCTACAATGAAGACCAGAATTTTCCTACTATTCTGATACCTATTAGATTGCTAGGAATAAGATTTTTTTGACCTTGAGGTGAAAATGCCCAGGAATAGTGACAGCAGCAAACAGTATTATCTAGAAAGTTTCTGTAGGGCTTCCATGACAGACAACAATTTACAGACAAAAGGACCCTGCTCACACTATTTGCCTACCTGAAAATCAGTGCATTTAACTAAATTGTAATATTTCAACAACTGGGACACAAGGCTACGAGTTGTATCTCTGTAGTTATCCATGCTTTCTCTGCAGCTCATGAATAGCAATGTAACTACTGATACCCTTCTCATCAGAGTTGTTTTAGAGACTACACAGAATGACTGCACTTTAAGGAGCAAAAAACATACGATACAAGCATGTATTTGTCAGTCGATTGTAAACTGTTTGCTGCAAAACCTTCAGTGATCAGAGGGTTTGCCCACAGCAACTCAATCCTCACTCTGGTCTCCCCATGGGCTCTGCAGGTCAGTGGCAAGGCACTCATGCGGAGCTTTCTGGATGCCCTGACGCTGTGTATTCCTACCACTATGAATCCGAAGCGTATATCCTCAGCAGTCGACACCTATGCTTTAGAACAGTCTTTATGGACACAAAGGCTGTATCTAGATAAACAGCAGCAACACACTGCAGCATCTTTCCCAATTACCAGTTTTGCCGCGGGGGAACCTGGCAGGGTACAACTGCCCTCCAGCCCAAGAGACACATCCCACCAAGATTAGGACACGGATTAGTGCCTGGTATATGCGGATGCCTCCTCACCTTGCGTCAGAGGAGTCACAAACTGACTATGGCAAACACAGCCAGAGAGGGAACTCAGGGTGATGAGCATCAGGCAGTGTCCATCTCCACAGAGGAAGCTGCATCTACAGCAGAGAAGTCCCTCTTCCCATCCCCTGAATTAAAACATGCTTTCTTAAGGGAAAGGGGTGTCATTTAGGATTTGGAGAGTTGGAAGTGATGTTAAAACGCTTGTAGTGTAAGATCTTCGGCAGCTCCAGATAAAGGCTCCCAGCTTTGCACCTCTCCAGGGGCAGGTGGCAGGACACGGGATGAGAGAGCCCCAGAAATCTGACGCTGTCCCAGTACGCTCACACACAAGAAGCCAGGGGTTTGGCACTCGCCAGGGCGTGGGCTGGGGAATAGGAAAGGCAAAAAGACCCTCCTCTGCCGCCGCACTGGCCTTAGCACCACGAAACACATTAAAATTCAGCATTTCCGCGGTGCCCCCATCACTCCTACACATAAAAAGCATTCCCTACATACTGCTACGATGCCAGCAGACAAGAAGCAGAAACCACGTCACGAAAGAGTTAATAAAAGCAACGCCATACAGCCTCTGTGTCTTTAAAAAGAAAAAAAAATAAAAACAAAAAAAAAACCCACAACACAAGCGCAAACTTCCCGTAGGAAACGACATCT